TTTTTTTTTTTTTTTTTTTTTTTTGAGAAAATATAAAAGAACAAAAAAAACATCTCAATTTTGAATAATAGTTGCACAGATGCAGGAGCAGAGCAATATCAAAATCTCCCATCAAACTGACTAAATTTCGAGTACCTCAACAATGATTCCATATGATAATGATACTAAAGTGTCTTCCCACCCTCCATTTAGAGCAACATTCCTTCCTGCTGCTACACCCTGTCCCTGCTTAAGCACATAATGGAAACTGGAAACTACAAATTATGCAACATTCAGATGGAAGCCGAAAACAAACAGGTTAATGCCGATGCCATTGCATCTCGACTGGAAGCTTCATTAGCTGACCAAAGATGTCAAAAACGGTTCTAGAAGCACAGTTCTTGATATATAGATAGAAATTTTGATATGAACGTACAAGCACCTCCAATCTACATTTAACACAAATATCATACAAATGTTTGTCCCTAAATCTGTATCAGTTGCAGAGACCTTGGCTATCTAAGAATAGAAGGTTCTCCTGGCTGTACTGTTGTAGTACGGATATCTTTAGACTCGAAAATCTACGTCATACTCATATATGGTAATAGAAGTAGCTCTGAGTTTATCTAAATGGACGCTATTCTTTACCATTGTACAAATGCGGAAAAAGTTAAATGGAAGAAAGAAAAAAAAAAAATCTTACTTCTAGCTACCATTCCTAAGAATCAACTCTTAACCAGAACAATTACTTCAGACAAGTGGTCCTATGGAAAGAATGTCCCAGACAATTAATGGAGACGGAAAGCTTCTCTCATGCATATATATAGATAGGGACATGTCATGGTGTGATACATACGCAGCCTAGTCTATGCCAGTTGCAGTGTTCAGTTTTGAATGTGATTTGATCCGTTGGGCCAACAAGAAAGTCAGTGTTTTGCTTCTGAAGCTAGGTTAACAGGATCCTTTACTGGCTGGCCCGGATCAACAGGTGGAGTGAAACTCGTTTGATAATTTACCAACTTGGAGGAATCCTTTGGATGAATAACTGTAGGGTCAGTTTCCATTTTATCGGCTTGATGTGGAGCAGCAGACTGCTCATGATCTGGTTCCAGAGGGCTTGATGCTGCAGGGAGGGAAGATTTTGGCTCAACATTGTTTTCAACATTTTCGTACTCGGAGAGAAGATCCATGAATTCGTTAAGCAGTCGTTGGACTTTTCTATTTGATGCCATGGCAGGAAGTATATCTTCTCTTAGAAGTTTGTGCTTTCTCATTCCCTGCGTAAATGTAAAAATGTGATTAAAACAAACTTCTTATGGCCCAGAAACCTGAAGGGCAGCCGTTTGCAACATTAAATAGTTTTGAGTTTTGAGGTGCGAGTAATATGGATAACCACATTGTGCAATCTACTTCACCAACTTTAGACAAATAATGGGTTTATGAAAAAATATGACACTAGTTACAAAATCCAAAAGATTGAGTGATCAACCACATGGTGATTTAGATTTAAGCACAGAGAAGCTAAACAAGTGCAAATAGAATTGATCAAAGATAGACAAGTCAAAAGGCATTATCACTACAGACAGCATTTGTCATGAATCAAACCAATCAGAAGAATTTCAAAAGAGAGTTATAACAAAGGAACAGAAACAAAAAATGAATGCAGAAAGGGACGATATCATTGATTGAATAAAAGAAGAATAAATATGCACAAAGTCTTACAAGCACACAAGGATCCCAGGCTTGATTCTTTGTATCCGCGGATGCATCTCCAGCCATCCCAGTTGGGGGTCCTAGTAAACTCTCACAAACCTCACGTAGCCGAGATTCATCTGCTTCTCTGTAATCAAGTAGCCAAGAACACCGAGTACAAATGTGTGAACTAAAATGCTTTGAAATCTTCTGAATGAAATTAAATTACATCATTTAACGAAACAAAACCAAAAAGAAAAACTACTAATAAATCCCATCATCAACGAGAAAAAAGGAGGACAAGCCTAATGTGTCTCCCAAATCAAAGACATCATCATGCATCTGTTCTGATGCACAAGAATTTTGATCTCTGGAACAGAAAAGGTGTTCAACTATGTATCTGTATCAACCTCAATCTCAGATCTAGCTATAATATCCACATCTCTTTTGATGAATTCAAAACTTTTGTGCTCCTAAAACTAAGTGCAAAAAAGCACCAGGCAACATTTGCAATAAGAAATGAGCTATAGAAATATGTGGTTACGCAAATCAAAAATGTGTTATAAATGTAAATCACCTTGCCAAAAAGCGTATGTATGATAGAAGCCATTGGCGATACTCATTAGGTGACTTCAATGCTAGTGAGGATGCCATCTGAGTTTCTAGGTGAGCACGTGTCTGCATTCCATCATCGGTGACCCTAGATTGAAGAAACTAAACACTTAAAATTGACTTCAAAATTATGTAAAAAGATCTGGAAACTAACTAGGAACCTATTACACTGACATGAAAAACCCCATCTTCCTTCCACATCAATCATGTGACATTAAGAATCAAACATGTTGAGATCAATATCATGATCATGAAAATGAAAATGAAAATGAACCATCCCTGAAAACAAACCAGAACCCAAGTTCTTAAAGCTTCAGACTTCGGATGAAAGGAAAGAACAAACCTGCTCCAACCTGGCTTTCTAGCCAGATATTTCCTGATATCAACCTGCAGTGCAGCAAGCTCTCCGCTCTGAATAGACCCCAAGTTCCAAGAGCTGGAAAAATTTGATGCAGGGAAACAGTCGTCTGCTACTCTCAGCCAACACTTAAGGTTTGTATCAAAGAGAAAAGCATGGCGAGTGGCCAAAACAACTAGAGGAGAACCAGATTTTGACAGCTTGGCAGATATAACTTTAATAGTGCCTGAAAGAGTGGAAGGTTCAGTCCTCAAATCAGAAGGCAGAATTCTATAGAAAGCAATGGAAAACACGAGAAAAACAAAGAACAAAAAGACAAGAAACTTTGACATTAGCATCCCACTAGGATATAATAATTCAAATGTTGAACGTTACCAGAATCTTTGGTAGATGAGTTAGGATTCAAAGGAATCAGTGATGCCAGCGAGTCATGAAGGAGACAACTGCGGTTAAAGAGATCCCATATATACAAGGAACCTTTCCTTGTCACCAGCAACAATTTCCAGGAATCATCACAATCGATAAATGTAGCAGCAGATCCCATCATCATGGTTGGCATAGAACGTCTACCACACTTGGTATAAACCTACTCAAGAATTAAAAAACTGTAACCAAATGGGAAGCTTATATAAAGGCATAATATTTTATTATTATATTAAACCAAATTTACTTCTGGCAGCCTAGAGTAATACGACTAAGATTAGCTAATAACTTCATTAATCATCTGCTCTATTGCCAAGATAGTAAAATCTTTAGTCTCAAAGATAATACCAGGGTTCATTGTATTAATGCAAAATCTAGCTGTACCGTCATAATACATTGCACGTGCATATCGTCCAGAGCATTCTCCTACTCAATCTTAGTGCCCCAAAATAAATGTAACTAAATATTAAATAGCCAGTAACTACCTGTAGGCATCCATCTTCACACCCTACTGCCCAGAAATTTGCATTTCCAGCCAAAACAGTGACTTTCCCTGAGACCCTATCAGACCACAGATTTCTTGATCCTTTAGTACAAGAAATAACTGTTTCTTTCAACATCGATGTGTTTCCAGCCCCAATAATGTCATTGGCCGCATTCTCCTTTGGTCGAGCTTCCAAGCAAATTGGTTCATTATATTCCCCTTCTTTCTTATCAAACACCCTAATTGAAAGTACAGAACTACAAGTAGCCAATGGATTCGACGTCTTCAAATTCCCAGAATGATCCATTACGATATTTGCATCATTACCTGCAGAGAGTGGAACCTTCTCAATCACTAAACTATCAGTGATTGTTGCTCGAGCAGTGACCCCTGTACGCTCCTTTGAATCAGTGCGTTTGCTAGGCATTCCCCTCATGGAACTTTCCCTTACACATTCAGGGGCAGCTACACCATTATTATCCTTTTTTTGGTCAGATGACATAGATGGGAAATCAAGTGCATTGCTACTCTGAATCCCACCAGACTTATTTTCCTGCAGAACAGGTCCTCCAACTGCTTCTGGAATAATTCTCTTTCTTCCATCAGGTCGTCTATATTCTCTTTGCTTCACAGGACTAGAAATCTTCTGGGAAGCTGACGAAACCTTATTCAAACCATCCACACCAGCTCCCCCACTCTTCTTTGAATCATCAACTTGGGCCTCCAAAGTCTTGGAG